CACACACAGAAACTTTGGATTGTCATTCAAGCGCCTGTACATTCCTTTGCTTGGCTCAATCTCCCGCAGGCAACAAGCATCACCTCTCCAATACCCCAGCTAGGCTTCCATGCATAAGATTTAACCGGCAGATTGGTCCTGCATATAAGGGGCGCTGCCTCTCCAAGCAACGCCAAGGCTAAGCCGAAAAGTGAGGCTTCAAGGTGGTATTGCATTTTGATGTTCCCAAACAACACATCGACGCCCAGGCTTCCACCATCGAAACGGGGCAACCTGCCTTCTTTTAATTGGAAGCAAGTCAAATTTTCTGAAAGTTTTCATCCCGCAGTGTGTGGGTAAGTTAGCTCATACTAGGATGTCCCGCGAAGGGTGTTAACCGCCACCAGTGCCGAGGCGAATATCATGACAGTGACTTTGGGTCTGCCGCCGATACTGGCCATGAGGCCAATTTGATTTTCACAGATGGCATGTAAGGGCTGCTTCAGGCAAGGCGGTGACAATGATGTTGTGTTTCCCAATCCTACCTAATGCAGACACGCTATTATCATGGGGGGACACATATTCAGCTACACGCGCACCTCATCAATGCAGGGCTGAGGAGCAAGGAACGCGATGCTTACCGAAATATCCATCCTCCACTGTAGTCGGCATTCGAAAGGCACCTTGGTCGGACTGCAGCGTTGAATTATGAACCAAGCGGATGAGGCTGGCCTGGGGCTCTGTACTGCAGCAAGAGAGCCAACTAACACTGCGTCAAGAAGACCAGTGCCTTTTGGAATACACGTTCCGTCCTTCAAGGTCAGGGGTGCTAATTTCTCTGCGGCGTCACTTGGCGCGAACATTAGCACACCATGTTTTTGCCTAGCGTCTTCCTTTGAGCACGGGAGGCATTGCAGACTTTACGCAGAATGGGTGGATTGAGTCGTTGGTTTTCGACAATGAGGCTGTCCATCTTTTCCAGATGCTGGAGTAAGGACTTGACCAGTATGTCTTCTCCGACCCGACCATAGGTCTTCAGTGTATCATCGATCTCGTCTCTGAGCAGGGGAACCCTCTCGAGATGAGTGATGATGTCAAAGAGCACGTTAGCCGCCGCCGTGGCCTTTGTGTGGGTATGCTTGCGAGGTTGAAGATGCACTGCCGCGCAGCCATTTCCTCCAACGAGCCCTCATTGCCCACCGCGTTGTCAACCATCCACTCAAAGAGCGTTCCCTCTCCCACTCTTCCTCCTGCCTGGGCCTCTTCCTCGCGCTTAAGCATGTACTTGCTGACGACCTCGGTGCCGATGTCGATCTGCTTCTATACTCGCCATCATGCTGGTATCAAGGGCTTGACTAAAAAGTCCATCCATGGCGGGAACATGGGCATGGCGAAGCCCGCCAGGAACAGATCCATGGAGACGTTAAACGTTAGGTCCAGCCACGTAGGGTCCCTGCAGATTAGGTCTCCCATGAAGACTTTGGCAGACATGCGGGCGACAAGTTTTTGCATCGTATGTTAGATGTCGATTTTGGTGCACTCGTTGGGCTTGGGTACGCCTACCTGCCAGGCGTCTGCCAAATCGACGTATTTAGATTCTTCGGGGTTCAACTTTTTGGTCAACACGGTGACATGCAGGTCGGAATTGTGAATTACGGAAGCCCATGGCCAGCTTCGGAACAGCTTCTGCCTACCTAGTTAGTAAGTACCAGACGCCGAGGGCAGAGTGAGGCTCGCATTGTAAATTTCGGTATGGTATCATCCTCGATACCAGAGACCTTCTAACGCAATAATAGGAATCATAATGATATTCGATGTCAAAACAGTTGAGAACAGTAAGATCTGGCTCGAGGGGTTATTCTTCAATGTCTCTCAGCTCAAAAGGCTTCTAAAGATAGCTGCTGATTTTGCTGCTGCTGCCGAAAACGAGGCCGATATCTCGGTTACGTACACACTTGGGCCAACCGGCGGTGCGGTAAATCTTGTGTATAACAAACCTATCAGTCGTCCAAAGATTTTTTATCCCTTTTACGCAATTCCCATAAATTCATGATGAAATCGACCCTGGCAACATGGGTACACTACCATGACGCCGTGTCTGCCTTGAATCCCTTTGGCTCACTAAGGTGAATGGCTTATTTCGATGTCTCGGCTCGTTTGTTCTCTGACTCATTTGGATGTCTTCAGGATAGCCAGAACGACTTATGACCGGAAGTGGGACCAGACGACGCCGCTGGACCATTATGTACGCTTCCAAAAACTTTCACCAACGTCCGAAGCCGTCTCAACGCAAGCTTGTATTTTGCTCCTCAGATATTCAGCAAATCTGCCGTGGCAGCGACATCAGCACAGGGGGGGAGTCCGCTTGTACTTTCGCAAGATACCCATTGCTCTATGTGCACGTTCGAGATGGAGTCAAAGTAGTCGTTCTTTCCATGTGCTAATATTTAGTTTTGCTAGTTCTATCATGGTGACATGGACAAACCACAATTATAACAAGCAACACAGACTTTGCTGCGCCTTGGAGATGGAATCACCGCGACGGGAGGACGGATCGGTACTGATTTGAAGCTTCGCTACAAGAATGACGCCGGGTCTAATCAAGATGTGCTGGGATCCCATGATTCCCTAGAACGAATGAGATCTGTTAGCCAAGTTTACGGCCCGTAACAGGTGTTTCAGCACCTACAGAACGGAGGCTTCCTGTTAAGCGAAGCACGATAAGATTGAGGTTCGTCTCTGAGCCACGTTTACTACATGGCGTAAGATCGGGTTCAAAGGGCGGATGTGGCAAACGTGAGAGTGTTAGGATGTGATGATCATGAGAGGTATGATGCTCTCTCATCTCATGCCGCGTCTTCCCCACTCTGTAGAACCTAAACCCTTGACACAGAGTTTATTCAAAATTGCATGCAGTTGCTTTGTGTCGTGTTATGTTGAATTCTCATCGTGCCCTAATACATAAAGCCTGGATGTTGTGATGCCTGTAGGGAAAAAAGGACTCTTGGACATCTTGTACGATCGTGTCAAATTAGCAATAACAATAGACAAAAGTTACTGTCTTGAGGTCTGAATAAAAGGTGTCAGAGAAAGTGCAGTTAAATAACCATACAAATCTCCTCCGGTACCGATTGGACAAGGATAACGCCGGGGAGCCATAATTCGGGGGATTTCTTGATATGGAAATTCGATGCCGGGATATGGAAGAGAAAGAGGGGGGGAGGCCGGATAGAATACCAATGCAGTGCCACCCGAATAGTGATCGCCTCTGCTCGCATCCAACCAAGCTGATCTGGATCCTTAGAGAACTATTCCTGGTCAATTTGCCTTGACGAGCGCAAGTTTTCCTTCATAGGCGATATCCCATCCTCCACATATGGACACCAATACCCCTGTGATAGAGGCATACTGGCGGTGAACTGGTGCTTTTGTCATAACGACGAAAACCGAAGCCAGAGAACTAGCTCGTGACCAGCTGCAGAAGGCATCCCGGGCGAGTGATTGGTCCCGATGATGCTGGGTATGAAGACAAGGTTTGTCGTAAATGGTATGTCGGGTCTCACTCGTGGCCAGTTCTCCTCACGGTCCCTACTGGGACTATGAGTTTCTGCGCTCACATCCTTCCAATGCTTGCTTTGGTGGATGGATGGTGTCGTCTTTAGCGGCTCTTCCATTCTAAATTCAATATCCATGGAGTGTGTCCCCTGATTTCTACTGTCAAGAGACTCCTTCAGACACATTGGTTGTCGTTGACTTTGGTTGCAGACTTTTAATTCTACCCTCAACAGGTCTGCCACCGGTAGGACTCCAGCAGCAGCCTACGTATGTCTGAATAGCCATGAAGAGGTTGAGAAGGCCCTGATCGTCAAAATCTCGGGGTCAAGGTTCGCCATTCGATCAGCAGGCCAAAAATGCAAACGCGGGGTTCAGAAGCGTTAGCACCAAGGAGTTGGGTATCGTCCTGGACTTGCGTGGACTAAAATCAAAATTTCTGGATTGCAAAACCAACATCTCTCGTATGGGAGCAGGCAACAACCGGTCCGAGACGTTCACCTGGCCCCAAGACCAGAATTCGTCAGTGATAGGCTCTCGAGAAAGCCGAGTTGGTCTCTCTGGGTTTCTCCTTGGCGGTAGAGTTGACGTTGTTCTATTAATATGCCACGGTTAGTTGACTACAGCCAGCTAACTTTATCTAGACTGGCCAGGGCATCTTCTCCAGCTCCTTTAGGTTGGACGCAGATGACGTCAAGAACTTTGAGGCAAGCGGTACAGCCAGACCCTAAAGCTCTCAAGTTTGGCAGTAATTTTTTGGAGCCACTAGGTCGCCCTTGTGAACGGAACTATCGTCCATGTAAACGCAGAAAAAAACTCGAATCTCTATCTTGCGCTCAAGGGCGGAGACTCCAACTTTGGCTTGAAGCCCGCTTCCTCTGCGCGGGAGACAATCTCACCGATCAATGCGCGGCAAGCCTCCCTCTCATGAGGGTTCAGTACAGCATCAACATATACGACCCTTCTCATTACATGAACGTGTTGGACGCATTCGACATGGTCCCGGAGTCAATGGAACAGGATCCCAAGATGGACTGTTTATTAATGTCCGACGAGACTCCATCGCCGTTAGCATTTTCAATGTGTCTGGCTGGTCGAGCTTCCAGCCGCCTTTGATCCCATCGTCAAACTAGGCAGCCAGTTTGATTGGAGCGGCTGTGCCTACGTCCAAGGGCACCTTCTCTGCCCTGAATGAGATCTTTGAGGAGTGGGCTCACAAGGAGCAGGACTTGGAGTAGGTCGAAAGCATCCCTCTTGGCCAGGTTTCACCGTGCTTTGTGAATTTACGCCAAAGCAGGCATGCTTATCTCACTATGACGACCAAAGCCTCGCAAGAACTATACCACCAAGGTTATCAAATCTGGAATGATATTGTTGACCGGCTTCCCCGTACCGTCGGTTTGCATTGGTCTTTCCAACCCCTGACTCAAGCGGCCGTAATGGCTGGGAGGAATGGCGGCGGCAACTTTTTAGGACTGGAAAAAGTGCCGTAGTCTTGTGTGCTCGCCAATTCTTGTAGCACCGGTAGTAATATATGTCGGACTAATGTCGCTCTTCTTGGCTGGATTTAAGCTTGTGACTGGAAGCAGGACCAAAACGATGAGGCTGTGCGGAACGCTTGAGACGCAGCTCTGCAGCGATCCAAGAAGCTGGCCGTCAATTGTGAGCTTCTTTTGGATCTTTTGCTTCCCACGTTCGCTGGCGCGTCCCAGAATGCGCTCACCGGTTTTGGCGCAGAGAATGTCCAGAAGTTGCAGCATGTATCGCGCCGTTATGATCCCGAAGGAGTGTGTTTCAAAAGCTACAGGATAGGGGTTCGTTGCGGCGAGATATATGACAAACTCTGTTTATGTCACCCTCCTGATGTTGATAGGCTATCTTGCTTGGGTTTATTTAGCTCACCTTTTCCATAGGGATTACTTGATTTCACTACACTGGTGAGTTTTGTGTAACCATCATGGGTTTTCTTCAGCTTCCACCAGTTGGCCCGTGTAACATTCTTGTCAACTTGTCGTCATTTTCCAACTATTTGACAGTATCCCAGATGCCATCCAGCGCTGCAGCTAAATCTTCCGACAGTAGGCCTCTCCTAGTTGCTGCCACGTTTTGCTTGACTTGAGAGAGCTTGCTTGCGCCGAAAATGATGCCATCTCGAGGCTCAAGTTTGGAATGGAAGGCAAACCAGCGCAGCGCCACCTCTGTCTTTGGGATAGCGTGCGGCTCTAGCATCCTGTCTAGCGAGCGGATAGCCTCGTGACACTTGTCCTTGTCATGGCGTCGAGCGTCCGTCGACATGATATTACTGTCGGCAAAGCGCGTCCTCTGGTTTGGCCCGACGTGAGTGCACCGTGCAGGAAGTCGCTGGCATGCGGGCTGTGTGCCACAAACTGCATGCCATGCGTGCGGACGACGGCATCGAGCCCTGGTACTTCGGGTCGGCGGTCGATGAGATTATACAAGCCTTGGTACACGGTCGGCTTCACATAGCCCTCGTGCTCACAGATGTCGATGAAGTCGGCAAGCATGTCGACTGAAAGTTACAAACCACTAGCTGCAACGAGAATCAGCCACTAGGCTGATTTTGTTGTCTCCTTTTGCTCCTCCAGGATTTCAAAAGCTTTCCCTGTCAAACATGCCCGCTCTATACTGCGCATCAAAGCCTACATCCGCTGCATGAGGATAGAAGACTGGATGTGTTGGCCGTCCGCTAGCCGAATCGTCTCACGGCTCTCTGCAGCAGACTTGGCGATTTTTTCGGGTTCCAAAGTGCCCTCGAAGCCAGTCATGCTAATCATTACCGTGTCGATAGCGAATCCTAGTTGTGCTGCTCGACTTGTCCAAGGAGACGCTGCGAAGCGCCAATGTCTGTAGGTGGATATAATACAACCGTGTCCAGCCGGCTTACACCCGCCTCCTTGAGGGTTTTCAGGAGCTCTTTCACGGCCTCCTCGCCGACAAATCCATTGCCGAGGCCGCCGCAGCCGAATATCAGCTCTGGGGCTCCGGGGAAGGCCATGGTTGTCAGCGGTCGCGGTCCTGGTCTGCCGATGCGGTGAAGCGAAGATATGAGGTGTTTATGCGAGCGTTCGGATTTTCGCTGAGCGAAAAAGAAGCACATGGACCAATTTGAGGTCAGTGAGGTGGGTGAGCAGTGAAAATCAGTTGTCTCGATATGGGGGGCCAGCGCCATAGACAGACGGTAGACCAACCAGAGCCCGAAACAACATGCATTTACACAGCTGTGGTCATCGAGACTCGTCAGATTTCATGTCAGCTCAAGATTGCATCGTGTACGGACCGTGCTGTAGCTTCCGGCCGGGGCTCGGGATTGGGCCGACTGGATGTTCCCGTTCGCATTTCTCGTGCCGACAGTCTGCTTTTGAGCGGCCGCATTTGGGGGCATGGTTGCGGCAAATGAACAGGCCGAGATGAAGGACGGGTTTGCAGTATCTGGACTCAATAACTCCATCATGTCTCAGTTGGAGATGGCCCAGCAAACAACTCCTGATGGTTCTCTTAAAGGAGAAAAACCGGGGTTCGACCTATAATGTCAAAGATATAGTTCGAAGAATTGGACAGGATGATCAGCTAAACCGTAGAAAGTTTCCGGTTACTACCTCATGGTCTCGTCTTTTTTTGCACTTGAATAATTTCGCGTACCCTATCTTGGATCACCGTGACGCCGTCAGAGGTCATACAGAGAAAGAGAGCCAACACGTGCACACTCATAAGCTGTGTATCCGGGTCGGGCATAGGCCACTATTACTGCGTCTTTTTACTCCATGACCCATGGGTTAAACCCAATTACCACTCTGACAGACGCCCCTGGCCATCCAGTGGCCCTCCTGCGAACAATGTCGGTAAATGGTGGCTTCACTCGGAAATAAGATCGCCAAAATAAGGAAAGATAACAATGGATGGCCTCCAAGGGGCTATCAATCATCCACATCAGTGCTCTGATGGTCAGATCGGATCTCTCACTATGCTTGGTCTAAATCTAATTCCGGAGCCTATTGACGAAAGGGTATGTTAACACCGCAAGGACGATATCTGTCTAATAGAAATATTGAATTAGGTTCTCGATGGCTAAGACGGACCTGCTAGCAGTGGAAGTTCAAGGCAGGCTATTCCGATGGCCGGCCGGACGAAAAGCGCGGATTGTAGTGGGCTGAGGCAGGACAACTTGGAACTTCACGCCATGGCCAAATACGAAATCAAGAGTTCTTGTACCGGTGTCTGAGTATCAGGCATAGAGAAACCATTGAACGGTGGCAGAATTATGTTCAGTCATACACTGCGGGCAAGCTTGGCCAGTCCACCGGACCGAGCACTGGCGATATCTGGTATTGCTGAAGCCCCCAGACGAAATTAAGAAAGGAATATGAAGCTGTCATCTTGAACTCCAACTTCCAGAGCGGGATTACTCGTCAAATATGCAGGAGCGAGGCTCGGCATAGACCAGCGCCATATTAAGTTGTACCAGGGCCCTTCGTGGTCTTGGGTCTCGGTAAATGGATCCATACTTTATCCGTATCAGGACTTGCAGGGCCCCGCCGGGGGGAAGAAAGGGGGGGGCAAAGACTGTGCGGCAAAGATCAAGGGCTGTTGTGCTGATCTGATGAACGATTCTGCGCCTTAGAGTGGTATTCGTCAAGGGTCTCGAAGATTGTAGCTCAGGGCAACAACCACGTCCGCGGTAATCTCCAAGGCAAATGAGCAGGCGTTGTTAACGGAGACATGGAAGCAGTAGGAAGCAGTGCTTTTCGGGTCGAGCGGCTCCATATCGGTTCCACGTTGTATTGAATATCTCGACGCCGATGAGGATGAAAAAGCGTCCACGGTATTGGAGACAAGGGGTGGTATGTATCAATTGACGCTAGAAGGCCCCCGTCTTCTGTTCTTGACGAGTGCTAGGGTCCCATCGGGGTACGAGGCGCTATGGGCTGTTGACGTGTCTGGTTGCATTCGTCCTTCGATGGCCCTGAAATTGGCTGCATTGGGAGATGCTCGGCCGATGAGGTTGCGGCCCCAGGATTCACATCCGGACCCCTGAAAAAGAATAGTGGGGCTGTTTCCGTCCCCAGCATTTGACATGTAGTTACATATACTTGACATTGGAATATTGATCAATTTAAATATATGTATTTAAATGGCGTCTGGTCCTGGCACCAGTCGACAGGTGTTGTGTTTGTCGCTGGGACCAGCGCCACCTGGCCGCGCCTTGACCCAACCCCATCGCATCAAGAACATCGACACAAATAAAACAAGCGGCCGAACGCGTTAGAAGAAACAGGAAAAAAGAACCCTTTGCTGCACATGGTTCGGAACCATAGTGCATGACGGCGCGATGCATGTGCGTGACTGACAAGTTGCAGCACGGATTATCGCTCCCTCCGCTAGTCGTCGCTCACCATAGCCTCCTCGCTCGTCGTCTTGCCTCTTGACCAGGACTCACGACTTCAACAATCCCCCGAGGCTCCCAGCCACCAGAGTGACCGGACCACCCAGACAGGGTCTGGTTGCACCATCCACAATCCGCCTGGACCCAAACCTCCAAACTAAACCAAGCCAGGCCGAAGCCGCTCTCCACCATGACTTTTGCTGTGAAGCTGGCCGCTGGCCTGCCCGTCGCGACGAACGCCACGGCCCAACATCAACCTCCTCAACCGCAGCAACAGCCGCAACAGCCGCAGTAACAGCAATCGCTGCAGCTTCAGCCTCAGCCCCAGCAGCCGCAGACCTCATCACAGCAGTACCAACAGCACCAGTACGCGTCGCAGCCCCAGCAAGTCCAAGTCCAAGTCCGCTCGCCGCAGTACCAGCAGCCGCAGCATCACCAGCAGCAGCTCGCCATGAACGGCATCAACGGCAACATGGGCGGCGCGCCTCCCATGCCCGCCGGCCCAACACCCGCCGGCCACCAAGCCGAGCTGAACTACATCTACGGCATGGTCGAGGAGCTGAGCCGCCAGCTCGCAGACAACCGCAGGGTGACGGAAGACATTGTCAACGGCCTGGGCAAAGTGCGCAGCAAAGCCAAGAACCAGAACCTATCCAACGACGAGTTAATAGCCTCTGCGGCATCCGATCTCCAAGGTGGACACCAACGATCCCCCAACCCCCCTGCCCAAAAAAACGAGTGAGTCAACCAGCTAACCTGCGGTATCGGGGCAGCCGATTCCCAAAATCTCGACACTCTCGTGTCCATTCTCTCCGAGTCCCTCGAAAAGGCCAACTTTAGCCGCGATGCCAACGCGGCGCTGCTGACGCAGTACGCCAACGTGCTGGCCCTCATGCTCAAGCAGTTCCACGACTACAAGGCCAAGCACGTGGCCGACGTGGCCGCCTGGCACCGCTCGTACAGGGTGCAGCTCGACGAGGCGCGGCAGGAGAACAGCCGTCTACGCGAGCAGATTTGGGAGATGCAGACGCATGCGAGCCGCGCCAACGAAAACCTGCGCCTGTTCCGCAGGAAGTACGACGAGGATGCGAAGCGGTGGGATAAGAGGGTCGAGGGCACAAGCATGCGGCAGGAACTGCGCTTCTGGAAGAGAATGGCCATGCCGGAGTTGGACGACGACGACTCGTACTGGAGCGGCGATGACGATATCATTGACGAGGCTGAGAAAGAGAGGCTCCGCGACCTGGAGCAGAGGGCTGCGCAGGAGCAGCTGATGGAGGGCCAGATGGACGAGGATGCTGGCGAGGCCCAGATGCAGAGCGAACACGCGCAGATGGGTATGCATGCAGGCGTCATGGGCGGCATCGCCATGCAGAGGGATGAGTCGGCGAGGGCGATGCCGGTGCCGCCTCCGAGGCCGTTGAGTGCGGCGTCGAGTACCGGGTCGACGGGGCGCTAGAGAAAGAATCACGACGAGACGGATGAATACCCCCTTTTTATGTATATTTACAATTGCATGGCTGGTTGTCAACATTCTTGCCTGTGGTTTCGCCCTTGTAGCGCCTAAATCACCATATTGTACAAGACTAGATTCGATGCCATTTGTCATGCCGTCTGCATCTGACTTCCAAAAAACGCTTCAAACTAATATCCGCTCTGCTCACGCCTCCCATCGCTACCCTCCTCCCCATCTTTCACATCGACCGCCGCCTGTCCGGCTTCTTTGATATCTTGCTCATCACCACGCAGCTTCGCAAAGTATGCCTTGATATCCTCCGCCCCAACTGCCTTGCCGCTCTCAGCAAACTGCTGGAAAAACGGCTTGAGCTGCTCCTTGAGGTGGTTATATGCCATGACGCCTTCGATGGCTCTGACGCGATCTACGTTCCGCAGGGCGCTTTCGCCTCGCTCAAGGAGACTGCCGCTGCCGTGGGTGGAGCCGCCGTGCTCTGAGGCGCCGTCTTCCGAGATAGGAGGCTCGTAGACCTCTTCTTCTTCGAGGAGTTGCGGGTGGGCGTTGATGATGCGATAGCAGTCTGTGCAGCGGCACAGCTGGTCCCGGAATCCTTCTTTGAAGAAGAGCGAGAATTGACCCGTTGGTGCGGCGGGCAGGTTTCGAAGCTTACATCCTAACGGCGTGTTGCCTGTCTGGGTGGCTTCTTGAGCAGATGTCGTGTTGTCTTTGTTGGGTTCGGTTTTAGAATCTGGGCTTTCCTCGTCGCTCTTAACACGCTTGGTTTCCGCAGATTCTTCAACATCGTCGTTAGCCTTGCGTTTTCTGGAACTAGGCTCTTCTTCTGTTTTGACTTCCGGTTCGGTTTCGTGGCGCTCGGCCTGGCTGAGGAAAATGGCTGGTAGAAATCCTGAAGTGCCAGCATAGCGCTTGATCCAAGGATGAGCGTCTACACACTTGTAGCACAGGAAGCCCTCAAAGTCGTCCTCGTCAGGGAAGCCGGGAGGCATGGGCGGTTCGTCCTCGTCGTCGAGCACGGCCACATCCGCATTGTTAGCTGGGGCGTCTGGTTGATCTTCGTTGCCTTCTGAGATGGTGGCCAAGGCGCTGCCGTCGGTTGCACTGCCTGATGATTTTCTCTTGACACCTTCCATCTTTTCGAACCACTTGGGGCCCATGCCTACCAGACAGCCGGGATGGTACCAGTCCTCGCCGCAGCCTCCGGATTCGTGGGTACCTAGTCCCAGGCACTGAAACATGGTGCCCTTTTGCTGAAACGGATCATAATCGCATTCGCATCCGCAAAAGATGTTGCGAAAGTTCTTGTTGTATTTGTTGTTGACGTCGGGTTCTTCTGAATGAACGTTGCCTTTGGTGTTGGTTGCTTCGTTGGTTCGGAGTGTGCATGGACTTGTCGCCGGGATTCTTTTGGTACCGCAGTCGCATGTAAAGTTTCGTTTCTGGAAAATTTCCACAAGTGTGTGTTCACCGTGGCATTGAACCGAGCAAGCATAGCATACGCCTGCTGGCTTCCACTCGGCTAGGTCGGCTGTGGCAGGATTGCATGTAAGGCAGGCAAAGACGTTTTGTCGAAGCGGTCCAAGAATCTTAGTGCAGCTGTCAATGCTCTGCTACTGTCAGTGATGGGCGAAGGGGCTGTAGTAGTATTGACTGGTGACGAACATAGGGAAGCGCTTCACGGGCATCAGCCTCAAGGAGCTCCTGGTTGCGAAGGAAGCTGCGGAGAGAATTAGATAAGCTCACACGGATGCTTCGACATGCGTATTTGAACTTACTCGGCTGCCGTCTGCGAATCATCCGAGGCTTGTGATTGCTGGGAAAAGCTATTGCTGCGTGCTGGTGCAGCCTTCCCTTGGGGAGAATGAGTCGACATTGTGATGGGAGCGTTTGCGTACAAATAAAGCAAATACAAGTAGAGCTGTTGGTCTGCGACAGTTATGACGACGTAAATGAGTAGAAATTTCCAATTCTTGCTGGCATTCAGACTAGATTTTGATGAATCTGAAGCTGATGGCGTCCGTCTGAGTGTGTGACGGCGAAGGCTGTTGCGGCCTGATAGTGGGCAGTGGGCAGCTGGTGACAGGCGTCTAGCGACAAAATAACGCGATGCGGTTTTGCGCCGCAAAGTGACAGACGATAAGGAGCTTATTTTTGTCAGCACCCTGGCTTGTGCAACCACTTTGCGCGTGATCTAATTTGGTCTAGCGCCTGAACCACTTAACGCGTGAGACGCGTCTCGAAAACGCGACATTGGATGGGATGCATGCCAGGATCCCTTTCGTCCCACATCTCAGCTCCAATTTATCATTCATCACTCCTATCCGACGACATTCGCTGCGCCAATCTATCTTCTTCCTGTCTGTCCGCTCTGCACATTCTACCGGACTGAACTTGGCGAGTAGAACACCGAGGCCATGAGGTTGGTTCTTCTCCTATCCATTATTCGCAACAAATTTGGACTAACAGCAGGACAGTTCCCCTCTCCACGATAGCTCGACCTCGCGCGACCGTGACACCCGTCCACGATCGAACCGAAAACGCTCACGAACCGGTGGTGATGATGCCACCTCCTCTGTCGGGGCAGGATCAAGCCCCATGCCCTCATCTCCACCCGCCCCTTTTAATATTGAGCACGGCGTCGAAGACGACGATGATGTCGAAGAGGAGGTCGAAATTCAAGATGATATTGACGACATCGATGAAATGGCTGATGACGATGTTGATCTTTTCCGCGAGGGTTTTGAAGCAGATTACAGATCGCGCGAGGATGATGCCTATGAGGGAATGGGCCTTGACGACGAGGGTGAATTCGACGACATGGATCTGGGCTCCAGACGGAGGCTGGAAGCACAGCTGAATCGACGAGACAGGGAGGTTGCTCGTCGACAGCGTATTCCGGCGGCTTTCCTCCCCGGTGATGATGACGATGGTGAAATTGATCTTACTGCGCAACCTCGCCGACGTCGCCACCACTATGATGAGGACCCTGACGATGCTATGGATGCCGACATTGTGGACGAGGAACTTTCACTTGAAGCGCTCGGCGATGTCAAGGCTGCTAATCTGACTGAGTGGGTTTCGCAACCTCCGGTCCAGAGAACTGTCAAGCGTGAATTCAAAGCATTCCTCACCTCCTATACAGATGCTTCAGGCTCGTCTGTTTACGGTAACCGCATTCGTACTCTGGGTGAAATCAACGCCGAGTCACTCGAGGTCTCCTATGAACACTTGTCCGAAAGCAAGGCCATCTTGGCTTACTTCTTGGCAAATGCTCCTTCGGAAATGCTGAAGCTCTTTGACGAGGTTGCCATGGATGTAGTTCTCCTGCATTACCCAGATTATGAGCGCATCCACTCGGAAATCCACGTACGCATCTTTGACCTGCCTGTGCACTACACCCTTCGCCAATTGCGTCAATCGCACCTAAACTGTCTTGTTCGCGTTAGCGGTGTTGTAACTCGACGAAGTGGTGTCTTTCCTCAGCTCAAGTATGTCAAATTTGACTGCACCAAGTGTGGTATTACCCTTGGACCATTCCAGCAAGAGTCCAACGTCGAAGTTAAAATCACCTACTGCCAGAGCTGTCAGTCTCGAGGCCCCTTTACACTGAACTCGGAAAAAACTGTGTATCGAAACTATCAGAAGTTGACCCTGCAGGAGTCTCCTGGTACAGTCCCGGCTGGTCGCTTGCCACGAACTCGCGAAGTCATCTTACTGTGGGATCTTATTGACAAGGCCAAGCCTGGCGAGGAGATTGAAGTAACTGGCATCTACCGCAACAACTACGATGCACAACTCAACAACAGAAATGGTTTCCCTGTCTTTGCCACCATCTTGGAAGCAAACAACGTCATTAAGGCACACGATCAGCTTGCGGGATTCCGCATGACGGAAGAAGATGAGCACGAAATTCGCAAGCTGTCACGAGACCCCAACATTGTAGACAAGATCATCAACTCCATGGCCCCCAGCATTTATGGCCACACCGATATCAAGACTGCCGTAGCTCTGTCACTGTTTGGTGGTGTAGCTAAGACGACAAAGGGACAACACCATGTCCGCGGCGACATCAACGTCCTTCTTCTTGGCGACCCTGGTACCGCCAAGTCTCAGGTGCTCAAGTACGTTGAAAAGACAGCACACAGAGCTGTGTTTGCAACTGGTCAAGGTGCCAGTGCCGTCGGTTTGACAGCCAGTGTGCGCCGTGATCCTTTGACCAGCGAATGGACCCTCGAAGGCGGTGCCTTGGTGTTGGCCGACCGTGGTACTTGCTTGATCGACGAATTTGACAAGATGAATGACCAAGATCGGACATCTATCCACGAAGCCATGGAGCAGCAGACCATCTCCATCTCCAAGGCTGGTATTGTGACAACACTACAGGCGCGATGCGGAATCATTGCGGCCGCCAATCCTCCAGCCGGCCGCTACAACTCTACCCTGCCCTTCTCACAAAACGTCAACCTCACTGAGCCCATTCTGTCACGTTTCGATATTTTGTGTGTCGTGAGGGATACCGTCGAGCCCGAGGAGGACGAACGACTAGCTCGGTTTATTGTTGGATCTCACAGCCGCAGCCACACTCTTAGCCAACCGACCCAGGACTCGATGCAAGTTGAACAATCTTCCCTCCTGGCCGAGACCCAAGGGACATCTGCTTCGTCAACAAAGAAGGAGGGTGATATTCCGCAAGCCCTGCTTCGCAAGTACATCCTGTACGCCCGGGAGCGATGCCACCCTAAGCTGTACCACATGGACGAGGACAAGGTCGCTCGATTATTTGCCGACATGCGAAGAGAATCGCTTGCCACTGGCGCTTACCCCATCACCGTATGCTCTCACATATCTTTCTCCTCATAAAAATTCGAGTTGTGCTAACATGCCACCCGCAGGTCCGTCATCTGGAAGCCATCATTCGTATCAGCGAAGCCTTCTGCAGGATGCGCCTGTCAGAGTACTGCTCCACGCAGGACATTGACCGTGCC